GATGGAGAACTAAGCAATGTGGAAGCACCAATTATAGATGGCTAAGGAAGGACTGGAAACCAGAGAAATTTCTGGAAATGCCCATTAGGCTTTAATTAGCTCTTAGCAGTAAGCCCCAACAGCCACTAAGACATTTGTAATATGATTGCACTGCACCACCTGCTTTTGCTGCCATTGCCACCACCAAAGCTCTCTAGTTTACCTGAATGGAGATCAAAGTGCCTTAGTCTTACTTTTGAGCACCCTGATGTTTGTGGAAAGGCACATAGTGAAGACATCAGGGACGGTGTGGGTTGTTTTTCCAGCTAATATTTTAGAAAATAATCAAGGTCTTCTTTACCTATATACAAAGGAGTGCTTTATCTAGAATGAATTCTGAGAAGGTGAAATTTCTTTAGGTGATGAAACATACATTTTAGATAGTTTAAAAGGAAGTATATTTCCCTGTCTATTAAATTGAACTCTGGCCATATTCTAACCAGATTCTAGTAAGTCTGATTTTTTCTTTGTCCTTGGATGTAATGTAGAGCACAGTGTTGCACCTGGTTTTAAATTTCATCTACCTTCTTCACTGCTTTAATTCCTCATCAGCTTTAATTCCTCTCTTTTATATTGCCTCCTGTTTCCTTTTTGTTAACTGTTTTCACTATTTGAAAACAACATTTAAAGATTATGTTCCCTAAATCTGGCTGCAGGTGTATGTGAATATTATATGAGTCTTTATACTTTGTTTCAATTATTTCATAGTAAATGGAATTGCAGGTTAAGTAAGAGTTGGTGATGTAATAGTATGCCTTTATAATATAGATACATAGTTTTTCTTTTAAGCTATTTCTGTTGATTATCTCAAAGTAAGATAGGCAAGTAAATGATTGTTACTCTCATGTTTGTGATGAGAAAGGTAAAGCTGGAGCTTGAATTTGGTTCTTTGACTGAGATACCAAGGTTCTTTTTAACTATTGGGTCTGGATAGTGGTTATATCATGTGCCCCCAAATTTTCAGAATATAAAGCTATGTTCCAGAACATAAAGGTTGCTGAAGTCTTATTTCTAGGTCAGTGGTTCTCATACTTTGCATTTCAGGACCCCTTTATAAAAAATATTGAGGATCCCAAAGAGCTTTTGTTTACATAGGTATATGTATCAATATTTACTGTAGTAGACATTAAAATTGAGAAATTTCCTCTTTGCGTGCTGGGCTGGCTTGCCGCTGGGAGCCTGCAGTTGCGGGTATCTTCCTGGTGCCCACTGCGGAGCCTGCTGCCGAGCCAGGGAGAGCGGCAAGCTCGCCTGCGCCGCCTTTGCACAGCGTGCCGAGCCCAGCTGGGGGAGGAGGAGGCCGACTTGGGGAGGGGACTGCAGGCCTTGGCTTATCTGTACGAACAACCATTGCAGAGTAGTTCGTGATGTCTGCCTGACGCCACTGCTTGGAACTGACCTAGGTCAGGTCAGGGAACTCAGCTGGAGTCGCCCTGACCTCTGCTGACTCATTGGTTTCTTCCCAAGCTTCTGATCCTTGCAGCACCATAATGGAGTTTTAAGACATCCATGGGTGTGTTGTCCTTGAATAAAGAATGAGAGCTCTGGAAGCCCAGCCAGGGGCAATGCCCATTCAGAGATTCTACACTAACCTGATGGCCAAAGACCTAAAGTTTAGAACCTACTCCTTTGCGGACTTATTTTTGGGAAGGCTGTGATGCCTAGATAATGGTTCCTAATGCTTGACCTTCAGGCTGTGCTGAGTGGAGAGCCATACCCTTTCTCCCTGTTTGCTGTGGATTTTGCTGATAGAAAGGATGTCCTCTAGTTGGTGTTGAGCAGATCCTAGGAACTTCTTTCCTGTTTTAACCTGTGTGAACAGCTATAATCTTATTGGAGAAAAAATTACTTAGATATTTGGGGGCACTTACCTGTCAAGTAGATAGCTTTTACTTGTATTTGCTTTATCTTGTGCAACAATCTGGTTTTATCTGAAAGACTCCAATAAAATATTTTAAACCAAAAATATATAAATAAAATTGAGAAATTTTAAAAATATTAATTAAACTAACTCATGGTTACACAAATTAGGTTGCTTTTTTCCTTAACACACAACTATTATAAAACTTTTTATTTTGAGGAGCATTATTGTTTTATATATTTACAAATATTATTAATGCCTTTCTGACTTACAAGTAGACAGCTGGATTCTTCTATCTGCTTCTACATTCAGTCTGTTGCTATACATTGTTTTGTTTGAAGCGTATGAAACAATTCAGCCTCACAGAGATATGCAGTTGGAAAAGGGAGAAGTATTTTTTTTTTTTTTTTTTTTTGAGACAGAGTCTCGCTTGTTGCCCAGGCTAGAGTGAGTGCCGTGGCGTCAGCCTAGCTCACAGCAACCTCAAACTCCTGGGCTCAAGCAATCCTCCTGCCTCAGCCTCCCGAGTAGCTGGGACTACAGGCATGCGCCACCATGCCCGGCTAATTTTTATATATATATTAGTTGGCCAATTAATTTCTTTCTATTTATAGTAGAGACGGGGTCTCGCTCTTGCTCAGGCTGGTTTTGAACTCCTGACCTTGAGCAATCCGCCCGCCTCGGCCTCCCAAGAGCTAGGATTACAGGCGTGAGCCACAGCGCCCGGCCAAGGGAGAAGTATTTTAATAGCTTTTCCCCAGATAATTATGGACTTTCTTTTCATACTAAACAAAATTGAACAAGTGGTAGTTTCTAAAGAAGAATCTGAGAGTCTAAGAAGAATTGAACCTTTTGTTTTCAAAGATGGTCATCAATAACACCAAAAAGTTGACATGTTTTGTACTAAAGCTCAGGGCATTTGTATTAGACTTGATAGGTTTTTAATTTGAGGGGGAATAGGGATGAGTTGGTGTCACTAAGCTCACTGGAAAATGGGAATGTTTTCTCATGTGTTTCTGAGGTTCATAGGGAACCCTTAAGGGGGGGGAATAGTTGTTATTTTAAATATATTAATACGTAATAAAGGGGTCTGGTAACTCTCCATGGCTCTTCTTTCACCTGCTAGGAAGTCACTAACTTCTGCGTTTGTAGCTGAGGAGAAACAAAGCAAGTAGCAGCTGACAAACAGCATCAGAAGACCGTCATTTATGGAGGAGAGAATTCTAAGGAAAGAGTAAAGGATAGTAGCGGTGTTACCTATTACTTAATAGGGTAGAGAGAAATGCAGAATCCCTGCTATACTTCATAGGACTCACGTTTTGAGGGAAGATAAATTACTCTGTAAAAAGAGATCCCAGTTCTGACAGACTATGTTATGCATGATAGCTAAGAGGAGTTTTGACTAACCTTAATCTAATATCCTAATTTAGATTGGCAGTTTCCTCTCATATCTGAGTGTTAGGAGCTCCAGTAATAAAGTGATGGTGTTCTTTTGTCAGTCCCTAGGTATACTGTTAGAGCCATGCAGTGACCATGGTGATAGTGAAGATGGCTATCTTGAGAAGTAAGTATTTTCTCTTGTTGCTAATTAATAAATCATTTTGAGAATTGGAGCTCTTCATAGATTGTGGGGTGACATTTTTAGATGAGTAGTTATTATAAAAATACAGTTTAGATAATCTTTTAAGAAAACCAACCTTCTGGTTTTTAATGGTAGGCTTAAAGCATATTAAATATCCTCAAATATTCAGAGTTGTATAGGTTCAGATGGACATAACTTGAAAAATATTGAGAGGAAAGAACATTCAGCCTTCTTGGATATACCTAAAACTTCTAGGTGATTTATTGATATTCTGGGGATACCTGTCAGTGAGTTAATTCACGGTTTGGGAACCATGGATAACCAACTGAAAGATTATGACACATTTGCTTCAACAAATATGTACAGGATGTTTCCCTTCCCCTTTGAACTCATCCTTAGTGTGTCCTAGTACAGTCTTAAGCAGTTGGTGCTTTTAAAACTTTCAGTAGATAGAGTCTCTTTGAATAGAAGCTTTCTGGAATGTTTTAAATCACTGAGTAGTGTTTGGATCTTGTTACCCTTTGCATCATTCCTTAAGATACTGCCAAGAAATGTATTACAATTTTCTTAGGAGAGATTTGATATTCTGAAACACAGCAGTAATGAATTTGCAGGCTAGATTGTAAATATTGAGAGATCCCAAACAGCATTACTAATTTGCTGATACCCTGTTGGCCATGATAAACTTGTGTTAATTCCATTGTTTCTTTTAATTGTGAGTAGGAAACGTGTTCTTTAAGGGTAAGTAAATTCTTTGGAGCCATGTCTCTGGAGCATCCCCATACTCTGAAGGTCCACAGATTTCCTGCTTACAGCAGTTCCTTGTGCTTCCTTTCAGGAGGCAGGAATGATCTTCTTCCAGCCCAGGGAGTATTGGAGCTATGGGCTGAAGATAAAAGATTAACAGCATTAACAGGCATCCCCAGAATGATGACATCTGGATTTGGTAGAACAATAAGGATCCATTTAGTGAGGACTCAATCTTTTTGGAAAAGCTCTTTCCTTTTCAACTTGTGTAGGTTAGCAAACTTGTTTTTAGATCCAAAGAGTACCTTGGTTAGGTGGATTACATTTTGCATGTTTTATGTTTCTCAAATTCAAGTGATTAGGCCTTTTAATCTACTAGGGTAGAATTTACTCATTCTATCGTTTGCTCCCACTCTAAGCAAAGGAATGTCTTTAACCTTTTAGGGAATTTAGTTCATTTCTTATGGTCAGCAAGAATAAGGTAATTATGTATATGACCAGATGACGTGCCATATTTAGATCAAAGCCTATATTCGGGATGCATACTCTTTTATGGCTGGTAAAAGTGGCATGTGCGTGTGTCATTGTAAATTTTCGTGGTGTCTTTGGGGAAAAGAACTTTACTGGGCATATCGATAACTTACTGTATAATAGCAGGTGCTCTTTTGACTGGTAAAACAGGTACGGATCATTTGTGACAGCTTGTTACAACTCTTGCTCTAAATAGGAGTTAGTTTTTTTGGGAATTACAAAAAGTGAAATTTTAAAAAATTTCCGTTGAGTATGTTACTGTTATGTTTTGAGGAGTGAAAGATTTAGAAGTAGTAACCTTTGATTGCAAGTAATTTGTGATTGGATACAGTCAGATTTAAAGGATATAGCTATAGCTTTTAACAAATCTTTTTTAAAAGAAAAAAGTCTCAGAGTAGAGAGAATAAAGCTATTTATTTCATTAAAACATTTATTTTATGAAATCTTTTCCATTACACATTCATTCTTTTTGGTTTCTGTTTAGTAAGGATTTTAATTTTATTTTTATAAAAGCTTTTTGGGTGGGTGGTTGGGAGGGGCCGTGGGGAACATTACTTCATTTTTCTAAACTTTAAGTGATTCTGTGGATCTTTTCAGTATTGTGTGATTTTCAGATATAGGGCTCCAAAGAATAGGCGTACATCCAGTTGTCATTTCTCCTCTCTTTTTTGTAAATGTTAACTGTATTGGGGAAGAGAGGAATCTTAGGTAAGAAATATGCACTGATAGTAACCTTTTTATTCTTTAATATTCTAACAACTTTACTTGTATTTTTAGGAAAGAATATTTGTTATTTGACAGTGATAAATTGTCACACTTGATTCTGGTAAGAACTATTTTCATCTTTTCTTAAAAAGTTGTTTGAGTTTAGGCCAGGTGTGGTGGCTCATGCCTGTAATGCTAGCATTCTAGGAGGCCAAGGTGGAAAGATTGCTCAAGGTCAGGAGTTCCAAACCAGCCTGAACAAGAGCAAGACCCCATCTCTACTAAAAATAGAAAGAAATTAATTGGCCAACTAAAAATAAATAGAAAAAATTAGCTGGGCGTGGTGGCACATGCCTGTAGTCCCAGCTTCTCGAGAGGCTGAGGCAGAAGGATTGCTTGAGCTCAGGAGTTTGAGGTTGCTGTGAGTTAGGCTGATGCCAGGGCACTCTAGCTAGGGCAACAGAGTGAGACCGTGTCTCAAAAAAAAAAAAAAGTTCTGTGAGTTTAATCTATAAATCATTATATATGGTCTTTAAATCTCTTAGGCTGGGTAGATTTAAAGGAAATTTAAATATGAATACTGTTATCAAATATTTTATAGTTAAGCAGCAACATCATTTGCCACTTTCAGTTATGAGAAAACACTTCCCTAAATTTGTGATTCAAACTATGTCTCTCATATATTACATATTATAAAACCACTTGTTATATTTGAAAATAGTTTGGATGGGGGGAGTGAGACAGTTGGTTGTATAGACACAGTAATGAAGACTACACATGGATATGTGCTGGTTGTCTTTAAGTTGGATGTGGAAAGCTTCTGTGGTTGTGAAATTTATTTTTTATTTTAAAATACAGGATTCTAGTAGCAAGATATGTGATTTGAATGCCAACACTGAATCGGAAGTGCCAGGAGATCAAAGTGTTGGTGTTCAAGGTGAAGCAGTATGTGTCCAAATTCCACATTTAGATCTGAAGAATGTTTCTGATGGTGATAAATGGGAAGGTAATTTTTTTTCCCTTGTAATGTTATTTGTAACTGAAATTATGCTTAGCAATAAGATTAGTGTTCTTTTCTGGACATCCTTATTAATCTTTATCTTCTGTTTTCCCTTTCATATAAAATGAATGAGTGAATGTTTTTACTGAAATACACTAATGAGATTATGGGGTAGCATCATTCATATGAACTAAGTTCTTATCTAATCCATTAGCTTTGAAAATGCATATTAGAACTGATTAAAAAAATAAAGTCACCCAAGATACGCTTTTGTTAATGGTTAAACCAGATGCTATCTCCAAGTCTTTGAAAGCCAGTGTATTAGGGTTTAGGGATCTCAACAGTTTAAACAGGGGTTGTATATCTGCCTTTTCCTTAGCATCATCAGGAATACTTTTTTAAAAAAATTATCTTTGGCTGGACGAAATGGCTCATGCTTGTAACCCTAGCACTTTGGTAGGCTGAGGCAGAAGGATCACTGGAGGTCAGGAATTCAAGACCACCCCAAGTACTACAGTGAGACCCCATCTCTACAAAAAGAAAAATTAGACAGGCTTGGTGGCACACGTGTCCTAGCTACTCAGGAGGCTAAGGCAGGAGGGTCACTTAAGCCCAGGAGTTTGAGGTTGCAGTGGGCTGTGATGATGCCACTGCACTCTAGCAACAGAGTGAAGCTCTGTCTCCAGAAATAAATTATAGGAGATCGGGGTAAATAGAAAAAAAATAAACAAAAAGTAAATTATCTCCAAGGGCACTTCTAAACAAATATTGTACATTATTTCTGTATTAGGTTATGAAGGTATGGTGGGGGGACCCTAAAAATTTGCACAAAGGGGAGAAGTTTAAATTTAATAAGCAACATGGGTATATGCATTTCTTGAAACACAGCAAATGTGCACTTAAGATTTTTGCATTTCATTGTATACAAAGTATTTTTTTACATTAAGAGAATTAAAAACTAAAATACTGAACTTCACCATATGATTTACATGCTGAAGTATCTGGGGAAATATACCAATATCTGCAGTTTACTCTGAAATTCATGAAAAAAATAAGATGGTTAATTGGATGGATAAATGTTATGAAGCAAGTATAGTACAATTAAAATGTTAATGATAAAATCTAGGTGATTGGTGTATGGATATTCACTGTGAAGTTCTTTCAACTTTGTAAACTTTCAAATACAGTGTTGGAGGAGGTGGGGAAGCAAGCAACAAATATGGATCCAGGAGGATTGTACACCTTCCTTGGTAAAGAGACAATGAGACAACTCAGGAATCATAAGCAGAATTACATATTCATTCACTTGGATGAAGATCCCTGGATTGTCTCACCTTTGGCAAGTTATCTGATGACATACAGTAGCAGTAACAAGAGGAATTGCAGTGCCATTGCCATGGACTCCTTTTGGCACTATTAAGTCTACTCACCTGATCACAGTTGGAGTGTATGGTTTTTTTAAGGTCTAGGCATTTTTTTTTTTTTTTTTAAGAGCCTCAATGAAGTCATTGTCTATGCCAATCTTTATTGCTGTCTCCCCCTGACACCCTCCACCCTCTTTAGGTCTAGATGTTTGGCATGCCCAGTGGCATATTATATATCTTAACTTAGACTAAATTAGTCTAAAGTTGCCTTACATTTGCTTTGTTCTGGGTTTTTCAGGACATATGCAATTTATGAAGATGATCCCTAGAGTTAGAACATACATTGGTGTACTGGTGGCAGTGAATATCAAATGTACTTTTTAGTTATTTATTATAGCATAGTCACTGAAGGAGTGGTGGTCAACAGTGTCCCTTGGAACCTTAGTAGGAAAGGAGTCTCTGAAAGAAGCACCTGAGATTCTGATAAAGCACTTTTGCTTCTTTCTCTTAGAAGATACAAATAAATATCCATATATGATCTTTGGCCTGGGGGTCCTGATCTTGAGTTATAAACATAGAAGAACAATTGTTTTTCATTGTCTGAGGAGATTGGACACTATCTGTCTAGCTTTAGCTTTCTAGAGGCTCCCCAAAAGAGAACCTGATACTGGACTGTGTTTTTTTTCCTGTCAGAATCCAATCCCTACTGTTTGTTAGAGGGAAAGGAGATAACCTACAGACCGCTGATTCCTGATTTTCAGTGCCTGTGCTGCCCCGTTATCCACCTGGGTCAACAGCCTCCTTGTAGGCTTCCTTCCTGCTGGCTCTTCCAGGAATAGGGCTCAGTGACTTTCAGAAAGCCAACAGTTAGAGACAGCTGAGTGAACTTCCCAGCCATGAACTGTGCACTTGTGTGCTTGGCATAGTGGCCGTTACAGACTATATTGTTCATTCCAACTTTGCCACTGATACGAACATTGATTTTTTTTCACAATTAGGAGTTAGGATATGCTAAGAAAAAAAAAAGTCTTCCTTAGGAGACCCTAAATACCTTGGAGTCAGAGATATACTTTGTTTGATGTGACTCTTTGTAGAGAAGTGGGGATGACTCCAAATAGAGGCCCACCTCACTATTCCTAAGTGTGTGGGGATTTTGTTTTGCTCTAAAAGCAGGAAAATGCAGTGAGCATGCAGGTAGCACATGACTGTCACCAGTCACTATCACCAGAATTTGTAGCACCTGTTCAAAAAGTTTTGGCTTCTAATGGCAGTGTGGACACCATCTTTTTTTCATATTCTCTCCTGCTAACTCTGAAATGAAATACAGTAGGATATTTTCAAAGAGCAAACTTAAAGGGAGATTTTTTTCTTTCAAATCAATTACACTGAAAAGCTTCAAACAGTACCGTAAGAGTTTCCATTTCTTCAGTTTTATATTTGAGTTTTAATAAAATAGCACTACCTTGTGTTTTTTTTTTTTTTTTTCCTGTTTTGTTTTGTTTTATTTGTTTTGTTTTTTGCCTTGCTTGCTGAAATGGAAATGTATGTTTGTGTTTGGTTAGTAGTAATTTCTTTGAATAAAGTTTTTGAGCAGAATGCCTAACTGGTTTTCGGGAAATGTTTTTGGTATCTTTGGCTTTGTGTTATGTGTATGGTTTGTTCTGACTGTGCCGTGTGTTCACTTTAGTATTTTTTGCCATTTTTTCCATTTTATTAGCGTCATGCCCTATCACTTTTCCCCTCATTGATTTCAAAACAATGCATCTGCAGAGAGATGGGGAGGGTAAGTATGGTTCACCATAGTTTAGTTTTTTTGCCTTTTTATGGTTCACTTTGTTTGTCTTTTTATTATTAGCCCTTCTCCTGCTGTCCCCATATCTTAGGAAAACTGTTCTGGGTTAAAAATGATACCCAGAAGAAAATTGTTACTTCTCTCTTTTCTTAAAATAGGAGATTGATTACTCATAAGATGTTTATTACCAGTTACTTATTTGCTGGGACACAGGTACAAGGGTTGATTTGAAAAATCACTTACTGGGGTTATTGTGGGATTGCACGCTTTGTACCCAGTTTTTAATTTTGAGATTGAGCTGGGCTTCAGAAACAAACCAAATTATGTTCTGAAAAAAAGCAGTTCTTTAAATTTCTAATGCATAAAGTTAAACTAAATTCCTAAAACACTAATCTTAGCTATTGTGTGAGGAAAACATCACTGTTGAATTTTGACACTGTCAAGCCATCTTTGCATTCATTTTTGCTATTGTTAATGGCCATAGCATCAAAATTTTAGTTATAAAAAACTAACGTGTGGATGGGAAAGGTCCCCCCACCTTCTGTACTCCAGTGATGCTTTAAGTTAATTTTGTATTGGGGTATATTTGTGGATTGTGTGTATGATCTGCATGTGTTCTATATGTAATGAAACTTTGTGCAAAGACATCAAATACATTAATGTGATTTCACTTGAGAGCATACAGGATAACACCAATAAAATAAATGTGCTTACGAACTAGTGCTATTAAATTTTGTCTTGATAATAATGTTGAGCATTTAATTATTAAAATATATATTATACATAGGAATCCTGTAACAGAGGATAACCACTACAGTTT